CACCATCGCAATCAGACCACCTAGCGCGCGCGTAATTCATTTCACTGACCTGTAGTTTGCCGAGGAGGATGAAATTAGTGGCGCGGAGATATCAAAAAAGTCATTTGTGTTAAATGACCTTTTATTTGCTAATGCACGACCTACGTTTTCCATCGCGGGCCATCTAAACGTGTTGTTCATCATCCCAGGGCCCCTGGGGAATTTTCTATGGCGCCCGTTGGAATGTCTGTCGCTTTAGGGGAGTAATACAGGGTCAGATTTGATCTGACTTTATTGTAATTTTCCTCATATGCGAAGGGTAGAAAGAGGCTAAGTATCAATACACCTAGTACCTGAATCTTCAACGACGCGTTGCAGCTGTGTTAGACGAATAATTATAATCTAGGTAAGCACTAGGGGCGAGTTAATTCTGAGGTGAAGTGTCTGAACATTCCGTTAGATATAAATGGTCGGGAAGGATTGAACTAGTCCAGAGCAATATTGTGGGTGTGTTGCGGAAAGGTTGTGGTAAGGCGAGAGTGGGTTCGGTTTGGCGTTCCTTTTTGCATTCCACTTATAGGTGCATTTTTGTGGCTTGCGCAGCCAAACAACGGAAGCTTTGTGTAGAGTTTTGTGGTCGGAGGGGGACATTTATAAAGTAAATAGAACGTGTTTATGCGTGTGCAGTGCTATAGACCCGCCCATTAAGGCATGATCAGCTGCGTACTGTCTTGTAAACGTATTGACGACTTGAGTTAGTAGAAGAGTATTAATATAGCTGTAACCGATGTTGGACATCTGAATAATAAACGGCAGTTGAAGATATAAAGAGAAAGCAATATCTTTGGTTTAAGCATAAGTAATGGATGGATAATCGATAAGCTAGGTGGGAGGGTATGATTGAAGCAACCAGGAAAAATGCACCACAACAGATTCAAGGCAAAGAGGGAAACATAATAAGAGATATTAAGCGATATAATACGATCATCCCTGGGAATGTCTCCTTGGGACCTGCTTCCATGCGGTGGTAGTCCATCGAGGAGTTTCAGCCCTACATCTACACACAGTTTGACCATGTGTCGGCGTGCCTAAAAAGCGGGCTAGTTACCACTGATTTGATTTTATCATTTGGGCTTCATATTTTCCGTAAGCTTGCTACTTAAAAAGTCAACCCTTCCGTCATACATTGACCTGACCGACCGTACTGACACTTGTAATTAGCCAACCCAGAATACAATGGTGTTCAAGCTTGATAACTACTACACAACGCAGCTGTGTCAGTGGAATGCACAGAGCAACATAAAAGTTTTTCTAAGGTGGTCTATCCCGACCTAAATGATGGTTATTCAATAGGTGTCAAGTTCTTCCAGCTTCCCACAACTCTCAGCGAGCACTGAATTCTGGCTTCGAATTTCATCTGCAAAGTGGAAGCCTTGCGGTCCATCAAGCTGCGTGCAATCGAAATAATAAAATAATGTGTAGTGGGGCTTTGGGTTTACATCAGATGTGGTTCTCCGCAGTCCTACTCCAGTCAGACAGGCTTTCACAAGCCGGGAAATGCACCAGACGGCAGTTCGACCTTCTGGGACTTGTCAAGGGTGCGCACTTCTCTGGTCTCTGTTCACTTTGGACCCCAGGTGACAACAGCTTGTTCCACTAAGCTTTGGCTGGCGGCTGCACAACTGCATGACTGCCAGTTGACTACGAAATAGCGCGGCTCATTCTCCACCGCCAGGTTAGTGACGAATTGTGCATGGCACAGCGTTTGGTTCAAGAGCCACGACTTCATGCATAGCGACTGTGCGCTTACTGTTGCTGAATCTTATTTAAGGTAATTACCAAATGGTTATGCATGCTGTAAGTATTTTTTTAAATTATCCCCTTCATAATACGCGTTAATTCTGTAACGATTTATAAAAAAGACGAATATTACTAATTTTGTAGCTTAGAAAGCTGTACAACTGCTTTGTTTACCGTTGGTAATTTTATTGGTAAACCTCAATGAGGCGGATAGGTAGAATGCCATCGTGACATCAAGTATGACCGGAGGACATCGACTGGAAACATGTTCAACAAATCATCGTCATCATCATCATCATACATGTCAGCTAGAGGTGGTGAAACACCTCCGCTATTGTACCGCAACACATAAAGGAAATACACACATACATATAATACATAAAGGAAAAATAAATACGACAATTGCATGCCAGCTGAGCTACCAGCAACGGATAGGCATCGTTCCGGTAATCTACCAGCCAGCAAATAGGTAAAACGAAAAAAATTATATTTTACCCTACGAAATAAGATCGTAGATGGAGGGGGAGGCTAAAAGGGATGGGGAGGGACAAAGAAACTCACAACAGGAACACCACTGAAATCGGCTCCTTGCCATGTCAGCAAGTGTATCTAGCCAAACGTGTTCACCGTCTTTTGGACCCAACCAGGGAGACGTGAAGCTATAACCGAGGCTAGCTCGGAAGTGATGGACTTCATTCCCCTGGACCAAGTCATCGCTTGGCCACCTTTCCTCTTCTTCCATCCACATCACCGGTGAGCAAACAACGCACGTCGAGGGAGTCGGTGGACTGGCATGCGTAACACGTGACCGAGCCTTCGGAGCCTGGTGCGAGAAATAACGGTGCTGAGCGGTTCATCCCCTTTCTCTGGGTCGTAAACAAGGCGTCGAACACGCTCGTTACTCACGCGGTGTTCCCACTAGATGTGAGCCAAACTGCGAAGGCACCAATGGTCGAACGTAACTAGCCTCTATATGTCCGCCGATCTTAGAGGCCAGGTTACGCAACCGTACAGTAAGGTCGAACGTACCGCTGCATTGTACACTCTACCCTTCAGGGCGAGAGTAATGTCGCGCCGCCGACAGAGTTGGCGAAGGTTAGAAAAAGCACTTTGAGCTTTCGCTATATGATTCGTGCTTTCATCTTCGATCCCAAGGGCGCTGATAAAACTTCCCAGATAACTGAATTTCTGAACGATTTCTAGATGATCCCAACCAAACGTCAGCATAGGGGCGATCCCTGCCAAACTTGGAAGAACGCTTTGCACTTCGGTGGTGCAAAGCAAAGCCCGAAGCGACTGACAGCCAGTGCTAATCTGTCCAGCGCGGCTTGGCATGCCTGGGAGCTGTCACAGATGAGAGCAATGTCGTCTGCATACACCAAGTCAAGAAGTCGTTCTCCTGGGAGCAGATCCATACCTTCCAAGTCATGTCCTGTAAATGCAATCTTCATGACTTCGTCAATAGCGAAGTTGAAAAGGAAAGGTGACAGCGGGCATCCTTGTCTCACACCGCTGGAGATATTGAAGGGTGGCGACAGCTTGCCGTAAGCCCTCAAGCTGCCCGTGCTACGCGCATATAATGCTTGGATAATATTTACATAATTTTCGGGCACACATTTCTTGAGTAGACAATTCCAAAGGGCACATCGATCAACCGAATCGAAGACACTTCTGATGTCAAGGAACACGACTACGGTGGGCCGCCAATATGTGTGACGGTGCTCCAACAACTAACCGAAGGTGAAGATGTGGTCGATGCAGCCACGACCACGACGAAACCCGACTTGCTCCTCACGAATCTGGCTTTCACGAGCGCCAGTCAGTCTGTGAAGATTTATGGAGGCGAGTAATTTGGAGGCAATGGGGATCAGGCTGATTCCTATATGGTTGCCGCATTCCGAATGCGAGCCGCCTTTGAAGATGGGAACAATAACGGAGCGGCTCCAGTCGGTTGGGACAATCTCCTGCTCCCACAGTTTCATTAGTAATTCATGTAAAGCATCAACAAGAGCAGAGCCCACGAATTTGAAGAGAGCTGGAGGGAGATCATCTGGTCACGCGGCTTTGTTCAACTTCAACAGTCCGATCTCATGTTCGACTTCTGAGCGAGAGGGTAGATCCAAAGGGACAGCCCACGGAGCAGGGCGATCACTGGCCGGCGAAGAATCGAACAATTCTAGCCGCTTAAATTGCTTCTCAAAATGCTCAGCCCAACGCTCCAAGCGTTTTGACAAATTGGGGATAGGCTGTCCATTCTCATCACACTTTGTTTCAATAACACCAAGTCTCCTGCTGCCCGTTTCCCGTATCAGACGGAATAACTTACGATGGTTGCCAAGGGGAGCGGCCACTTCCATCTCTGACGCATGATGAGACCACCAGAATTCGCGGTCTCTCTTCAGGCTAGCACGGAGTTTTGCCCGGAGCTCTTTGCGAGTTTCATTGTGCTCGCTTCCAGCCGGGATATGCCGGCGAGCGTCGATAAGTACCAGAGACTGCGAAGAGACCCAATGTCCGTGTTGTTTATTAGACATACCACATGAGGATT